AACAGAATAACAAAAATATAAAAAATAACAGAAAATAAAATTTTAGTCGTATAGCAACAAAATTCTAATTGAACTCAAATTAAACTCTATATTTTAGCGGTCCCTGGCAACGGCGCCAAAAACTTGATCGGAAAATTAGTAAGTGTACTAATTTTCCAATGTACTACTAATAATGAGAAATTCCAAAATATCAATCTCAAAGACTGCGTATAAGTACCAAGTTCAATTTGTGATTCAATTAAACAAAACTTAATTTGGGGTTTTGTTTGGAAATTTTCACTTAATGATAAGTAAAAATAAACAGAAATATCAATTGGCTTTTTCACAGATATGAGGAGCATGCTAGAGTAAAGTGTATGATTTGCCCTGTAACAATCTTGAATCCTGATTTCTTCAATAAGTTCAAAATACTTACTTACCAGCTCTTTAGGTTATTTTCCCCTAAGTCCTTAGTGGGAAAACCTTTGAACATTCATCCTAAATCCTAAGTCCTTAGGAACTTATGATGAATAAAAGCCTTTGTGTTATAAAGAGTTAACCAGTAACTATAGGGTATCCCTAGTCCTAGTTGGTATCTACTATAGTCTAATCGTAAAAAACCTTAACAACCTTGGTCCAGCTAATTGTTAACCGTAAATCAATCCTTGTGTGTCCGACAAAGAAAGCATAAAAACCTTGTACAATTAAATTGAATATGAAAAACAAATATATTAAATAAATTCATAATCACAATCATTTACAGAGTCAAATCAGGGACACCCCTACCATTGAGGGGTTTAGCTACTCATATTGTTCAAAGTAATTTCAAAATAAAAATTAGACATTACAAATTACTGGTGAACTTTGATCTTCAATTGCTTCCACTCATGAAAAGTCTATGTTCTCCAACAATTGCATATGCTTCATTCTTCAATCGTAGAAATTCTCCACTCGCAAAAGTCCCCTAATTCATCGTGAAAACTCATCTAAATAGTGAAAATCCATTGGTCTCGGTCGGAAATTCCAAAAATTCCCCTCCAGGTCACACATAGTGAAAAATCATGAAAACAAAGAAAGTCAATGTCAATAGCAAACACGGCCCGTGTCAGGAAACACGGTCGCCCGTGTTGGCCCTATGAGTTTTTATTTTATTTTCTAAGTCCTACGATGTGCAACACGGCCCGTGTGGCACCCCCTGACTTCCTCTCTTTTGAATTTTCTTGGCACGACTTCATCCTGACACGGCCCGTGCCAGGTGACACGGGTGGTCGTGTCAGGCCTCCTGTAACATGAATTTTTACTTCCTATGAAAGTTCGACTTTTGCACTTTTTCGCACTGGATCGTCTTGATTTATTCCTCTAAGCCTAAAAATACTAAAACACACAACCAATGCATAAAATATGGAGAAATAAAATAAAACGCTTGAAAATATAAAGAAAAGATAATTAAAATCAACGTTAAATAACTGTATAAAATCCACTGATCAGGAGGATCTGTGGAAAGTCTGTGACAAGAATTAGAACCCTCGGTGCAAAGTGACCATTACTACAAATATCTCATATATCATTTATGCTATATGGCATGTTAGAAACAATCTCATTTTCAACAACATGCACCCAGCTTGGAATTCCATTGTTGCCATCATATCTTCTCAAGTTTGCATGGCAGGTAACAAAGCAAATTTGTTGGCTTCACCCTCCATAAGATATTTCTGTATTATGAAGAAGTTCAAAGTATCTATACATCCTCCTAAGTCTGCCATGATTAAGGAGGTCATGTAGATCCCTCCATTTTTGGATAAAGTGTAACACAGATGAGTATTAATAACTGATATCTCCTCATGTGGGGTGTCTTTAGGAATCAATTGACATACATACTTGTTTGTTTTGCTTAGATCACTGGCTCCAACTCACTGTTTTATGCAAAACTCTCTGATGTAATATGTGCCATTAAAATTACACACAGTAGAAGTTGAAAGAATCTCTGGATTGAGATAGATTCAACCTTAGTGTCGAAGACTTTCATGTGTGTGTCTTAATCATCCATTTGAGTCTTAAGATTATATGATCTAACTGCATTCTTTTATTGAAAACTATGAATTGTATAATAACATGTATATACGTAAAAGGCAATTATTTTGATGGCATTTTAGCTAGTATTTTTCTAGGCTTACCCTCCATCACCATTTGATATTTCCTATCGTTCTATTTATAAGAAAAAATTTATTTTTTTAGATTAATTGAATAATTAATATATCTGATTTATATATTATCCGAATATATTAGTTATTTAATATATTAAAAAAATAATTTTTTTTTTATAAATAGGATAAGAGCTAATATGAATTTTTTTTCCTGATATTGTTAATAACTTTACTAGAGACAAGATAGGTTACCAAACTATAGATTTGTAAATTATTAAGGAGGTTTTGGTTTTGTTCCTCCTCTCATTTTTTTTTTAGCTCAGTCATCTTTTTATACAATTTTAAGTTTACAAAAAATTGAGATATTTTGTTTATAATAAAAAATTAAAATAATTTTCAATTTCAATGATTTTTTATTTAGAGATTTTGAGTAAGATTTGAGAGTTATTAAAAAGGGTCATGACATGTTTAAAAGAAGAAAAAAAAATCGTGGAATTGTACGATTATATGCTTGAATTTGGAAATTGTGTGAATCTATGTTTGAATCTGAAAATTAGATGAATATTTTGGTCACTAGTTCAGCTGTTAAATGCTTTAGCCACTCATTGTTATCCTATTGCAACCTATTCTTTTTGTATTTGAATTATTATTATTATTATTATTATTATTATTATTATTATTATTATTATTATTATTATTATTATTATTATTATTATTATTATTATTATTATTATTATTATTATTATTATTATTATTATTATTAAAATTAAATAAATTTTTAATCTCTTTAAATATTTTAAATTTTATTTTTAGTCTTTTTAAATTATTATTTTTTAAAAAAAATTAAATTTTAACTTTTGATCTTTTTTACAATTTATGACGATTTTTACAATTTAACGACAGTTTTAGCGACGACTTTTATTTAGTGACGAAATTAAAGACTATGTTAACTATGATTTGTTAGAAGAGACTAAAAATTAAAATTTTTTTTTTTAAAAGATCATTCTTTAAAACAAAAATTTAGAGACATTAAAATGAAATTTGAGATATTTAGAATGACTAAAAATTTATTTAATCTTTATTATTATTTTATTTAAAAAAATTCATATTGAACACCAATTAATGATTTGTAGTGTTGATACAATTTCAATATTTTGGTCACTAAATTTTATAACCATTTTTGTTATTATTTTACTTTAAAAGTTGATATTTAATTTATTTTAGTAATTATAATAAAACATTTAAAAATAATAATAATTAATTACTGACATGTGATAAAAATGCCAAGTATTTAAAAAAAAAAACAGAAAAGAATACACTGTTACTAAAATTAAAATTAAATGAGGGAGTCACATCTAAATAAAGTTCTAAATATTTAAATATTTTTATTATAAAATTGAAATTTTTTTAGGAATATATTTAGATACAAATCGATAGATATGATTTATATTTTTCTCTAATAAAAATATAATAAATATATTTAAATATTTTTTAAAGAATAAAAATAAATAAATTAAATAATATATATATATATATATATATATATATATATATATATATATATATATATATATATATATATATATATATATATATATATATATATATATATATATATATATATATATATATATATATATATATATATATATATATATATATATATATATATATATATATATATATATATATATATATATATATATATATATATATATATATATATATATATATATATATATATATATATATATATATATATATATATATATATATATATATATATATATATATATATATATATATATATATATATATATATATATATATATATATATATATATATATATATATATATATAAAAGATGAAATTATATACTTATCTTATTTTAATTAGAAAAAAATATAAATCAATTTAAGAAAATACACCTAAATTCTTTTTCTTCTTTTTATAAATATCAATTAAAACTCATTCATTTGAAGAAAAAAAATTATACCCTAAAATAAAATAAGTAATTCCATGAATAAATTAAAATAGATTCAATCAAAACAATAATGAGGTTTAATTAAAACAAGAAATAGTGATCGAAACCTGTTTTGTTGAATGTTGTTGATAATGATAGCCACACAATTTTTATTTTAAATATAAAACTGTTACGCCTGCCATTTTGAAAATCCCTTTGAAATTGAAGTGAAAAAATAAATAAATATATAAATTTCAAAAGCATGTACGAAATACCCGGAGAAAATTCAAGATAACGAGCGTGTATTTTATGAAACGAATTTTCGGTGGGACCATAACAGTGAAGAAAATAAAAAATTAATATATAATCTTTTTATTTATCGTGTTGTATTGTGGTCTGTTGAAAATCCTTGTTTGTGTTGCTGTACGTTGTGCGTATATTCTGGTATTCTTTCCTTTTTACTTTTCCTTTTTTTCTTAGCCTCGTCACTTTTCAATCCACATTCCCATTCTCTCATCATTCATTCCCCAAATCACCATCACTTTCTTTCTTCTTCTTCCTTTTCAATCCTCTCTCATCAATTTCAATCACCACCTAATTTTTCTTAATCCCATTCCAAGCTACCTTCTTTTCCTTCGTTCTTTCAATTGCTTAATTCAACTCCTTTTCCTTAATTGCTGTGGTTAGTTTTTTTTCTTGTTTATATTCATCCATACTTAATACCTTACTTCACCTTTATCTTACTTTTCTTCTTTCTTACCTCATTCCATCACTCGGTTCCTTTTGTCCCTTCCCTTACACCTTTATCTAAATTATGCTCTTTTCAATTCTACGTTATTATTATTATTTTACATCTCTTTGAATTGTTTACAAATACAACTTTCTCATTTTCTCTCTAATTTTGTCTTTGAAGATGGTTTTGGGAATAAGAACTAAGAGTAGAAAAAACGATTCCAATTCGATACAAGTTCATTACATTATCAATGTTTATGAGATCAAACCATGGCCGCCTTCACAATCACTCAGGTCTGTTCAATCTGTTCTCTTACGATGGGAAAACGGTGACCGAAACTCCGGCTCTCTAGCCTCCTCGAATGTGGGCAACGGGACAATTGAGTTTAATGAACCTTTCAAGCTTTCGGTATCTATGTCGAAGAAGGAAAAAAAGCGCGAAAGTTTTAAGAAAAACTATTTGGAGTTTCAGTTGTTTGATAGGACAGTGAAGAGCCAGGTTATAGGATCAGCCACTGTGAATTTTGCAGATTTTGGGATTATTAAGGAAGCTAAAGCTATATGTTTTCAGTTGAATTGTAAGAAGAGTTTTAAAAGCTCGGTGCTGCCGTTGATATATGTTAGTATTCAGCCGTTTGATGTAGAGTGTTCGAGCTCATCGCCTAGTAGCAGCTTGTCGAAAGAATTGTCACTAGAAAGGGAATCTGTATCACAGTCAATTAATGATGATGATGACGACGATGGCGATGGTAATGATGATCTTGAAATTGCCTCTTTTACAGATGATGAAACTGATGACATTGGTTCAAATGATTTGCAAACTGTCAGATCGGCTTCGAAGACTATAGGAGGTTTATTTTCTAATTCTGCTTATTCATAATAGATCACATAACTGTCTTGTGTGCAAAGGGATTGTTTTCCTCGTATTATGGATATTCCTTTGTTATGATTTGCTAGTAATTAACCATTTAGCCACAAATGATCTGTGTCGTCAATCTATGTAGTTCGATTTTGCTCAACAAAAAACTACTCTAATGTTTTGCACTTGGTTATAGGCTTATAGTATCGGTTGATTCTTTTCCTCTTTATTGTCAGTACGAACATATGCATTGATTATATGCAATTCATGTTCTGTTAGTCTTACAATATTCAGAAGATGGAATGACTTTATCCTAAGTTTGATTACTCATTTAATACTTGTATGTCAATTACATTATAGAGTTGGTTTCTAATTGTCGTTTTAGCTCCACATATAATGATCAAATATTTAACGGGACATAGTGTTTGACGGTTAAGAATCAACACGAGAATAAAGTAAGTGCAGCCGAGATGAGAATGTTGCGTTGGATGTGTGATAAGACTAGACATAATAGGATTAGAAATGAAAATATTAGAGTGTTGGGGTAGCACCTATAGTAGAGAAGATGGTGGAAAATAGACTTAGGTAGTTTGGGCATGTAGAGAGAACACCTGGAGAAAGATCTCGAGATTAACGAGTTGGATAGAAGCATGGTCTTGGATAGAACGTTATGGCGAAAATTGATCCATGTAGCCGACTCTACTTAGTGGGACAAGACTTGGTTGTTATCGTTGTTTAAGTGTTGACTTGTTCTTTTTGAACTGTGCTTAGGTACTAGGTATGCAAAAAATGCAATTGTCTAATCTGTCATTTTTAATAGACTGTTGCCATTTGATTTCAGGCAGCAGCAAAATTGGTGAAGGACGAACAAAGGGGGCTAATGGAGAATATATTCTACCCTCAGAAATTATTACTTCTAGCTTACATGTAAACACAAAGGCTGAATCACCCTCGCAGATCAATGGCTTCAAATCTCCCTCTTCGTCTCCGGTTCTACGCTCGGGTATCGGAAATGTTGAAAATGGTAGGCCTTCTTCACCTAAAGTTTCTAAGAGAAGTGCCAAGGCTGCTGATGCAAGTTCTGGAATTCAAGAAAGGATTCAACAATCTCCCTTTTCGTCTCCGGTTCTACGCTCAAGTATCGGAAATGTTGAAAATGGTAGTCCTTCTTCACCTAAAATTTCTAAGAGAAGTGTCAATGTTGCTGATGCGAGTTCTGAAATTCAAGAATCTCCGTCTCCGTCTCCGGTTCTACGCTCAGGTATCGGAAATGTTGAAAATGGTAGTCCTTCTTCACCTAAAATTTCTAAGAGAAGTGTCAATGTTGCTGATGCGAGTTCTGAAATTCAAGAAAAGATTCAAGAATCTCCCTCTCCGTCTCCGGTTCTACACTCGGGTATCGGAAATGTTGAAAATGGTAGGCCTTCTTTGCCTAACATTTCTGAGAGAAGTGTCAATGTTGCTGATGCAAGTTCTGAAATTCAAGAAAAGATTCAAGAATCTCCCTCTCCGTCTCCGGTTCTACGCTCGGGTATCGGAAATGTTGAAAATGGTAGGCCTTCTTTGCCTAACATTTCTGAGAGAAGTGTCAATGTTGCTGATGCAAGTTCTGAAATTCAAGAATCTCCCTCTCCGTCTCCGGTTCTACGCTCGGGTATCGGAAATGTTGAAAATGGTAGGCCTTCTTTGCCTAACATTTCTAAGAGAAGTGTCAATGTTGCTGATGCAAGTTCTGAAATTCAAGAAAAGATTCAAGAATCTCCCTCTCCGTCTCCGGTTCTACGCTCGGGTATCGGAAATGTTGAAAATGGTAGGCCTTCTTTGCCTAACATTTCTAAGAGAAGTGTCAATGTTGCTGATGCAAGTTCTGAAATTCAAGAAAGGATTCAACAATCCCGTTGGCAAGATATTTCTGTTGATAGGTTCAAACCCATATCTCCATCTTCAAACATTTCATCAAGTATGAGACCACACTTTGAAATATCTTCCCAATCTCAAGTACTTCCAGAGGACAGGACAGAAAACAGGAGATATAAAGGATATGTTCCCAAGAAAGTTGGCAGTGTTTCTAACACTAGTGTAATGGAGGACAAAGAGAAAAAGGAAAAGGGAAGAAAAGGACGAGAACAGTTTACTACGAGTAACGGAAATTTCAAAAATGTGCTTGACGATAATTTTTCAGATGATGAATCTACAAGGACAGAAAAATTAAATGGTGTTTCTCTTCTGCAAAGTAAAAAATCACATGAACAACCAACAGTTTTTGTGACAAATAAGAAATCAGAGGATATGAGAAGTAAAAAGTTTCCTTTACAAACTAATGAGAGCTATGGGCAGTTCATCAGGAGTCAGAACCTAGATCAGGAAGAGAAAATAAATACTTCTAATGGTGTTTATGTTGCTGCTGCTTGTCATGAAGATATTAATGTGAATGGTAGTTCTTCTATTGATAATCCTGAATTGAAGGCTGAAGTTGAACGGCTTCGTGAAGAGCTGAGAGAAGCTGCTGCCCTTGAAGCTTCAATGTACTCAGTTATTGCTGAACATGGCTCATCAAACAAGGTTCATGCACCTGCTCGGCGCTTGTCTAGATTCTATTTCCATGCTCGTAGAGTTGGCTCCCCTGCTAAAATAGCTAGTGCAGCCCAGAGCGTTGTCTCGGGATTTGTTGTGGTTTCTAAAGCATGTGGAAATGATGTTCCAAGGTATATAAAAGTTGATTTCATAACTTTCTTAACTATGCCAAAATGATATAATAATTCAGGAGCATACATTCCAATGATCTTGTTTTTATAGTTCTAAATTGATAGAAAACTAATGGGATAATTATTGGTTGTTGTTGTGTCTATTGAAGTTTTTTTTATTCATTATTATTTTAAAAAAGCCGCAAAATAGTTTTCATCATTTGCTTACATTTTATACCAGTTCTTAGTTTATTGTTTTGTAACCATGAATAGGTTGACATTCTGGTTCTCAAACCTATTATTGCTGAGAGCAATGGTGAGCAAAGGAGTTGAAAATAAAGACCTTGGTAATGGTCCGTGCCTCAATGGTGAATGTTATGTAAATGGTTCCACATCTCATGACAAAGGAAAAGAAAATACAGAGACATTTTTAGTTGCATTGGAAAAGGTTGAAGCATGGATGTTCTCTCGAATTATTGAGTCAGTGTGGTGGCAGGTTGAATCATAAACCTTTATTTTTTTTCTGATTCTGACATCTCCAAGAAAATTTTATTATTGAATGCCTTTGTACTCTCTACTGATGTTTTTTGTTGTTTGTTGTCGCCAGACTTTGACTCCATACATGCAGTCCGCAGCAGCTAAGAGCTCTAGCTCTATGAAAACTTATGGTAAGAGATATACTATTGGTGATCATGATCAAGGAAACTTTTCTATTGATTTATGGAAAAGAGCTTTCAAGGATGCATGTGAAAGGCTTTGTCCTCTTCGAGCCGGAGGGCTTGAGTGTGGCTGCTTGCATGTGATATCTAGAATGGTATAATTTTACAATCGGTATTCCTTATTCAATGTGTTGCAATGTTGGATTCATTCTTATATTCTTCTCTTTTACATGTATATGGATGTAGATGCATATGTTAACTAATAATAATATGACAAGTTGGAATGTTCCAAGTTGGATAGATAATGTTGATGTTCATGTTTGCTCTTAATGATGATATGTGCTATTTGTTGCTATCTTTATACAATTTAATCAAAATGCAGTGTGATTGAAATATAATTTCTTTTGTGGGGGTAGGTGATGGAACAATTGGTTAATAGACTTGACGTGGCGATGTTCAATGCTATTCTTCGAGAATCAGCCGATGAAATGCCCACCGATCCTATATCTGACCCTATTAGTGACTCTAAGGTTCTTCCTATTGCATCTGGAAAATCAGGCTTTGGTGCTGGTGCGCAACTCAAGAATGCTGTGAGTGACTAAACTTGTGGTTCGGAGCCTTCTTTGTTTTTTTTTAACTTCACTCCAAATTTGTAATACACTTCAAATTCAGCTTTTGAATATTGATGTATTCATATTAACACTCCATGAATTTTGCAACATTATCTGTAACTTCTCATATCTGTACTCAGGTCGGTGACTGGTCAAGATGGCTTTCAGATTTGTTTGGCATTGATGATTGTGACTCTCATGAAGATAACAATGAAAATGATGACATAAAATATGAATCGTTCAAACCTTTCCCTCTCCTGAACACGTTGAGTGATCTAATGATGCTTCCTTTTGAAATGCTTGCAGACAGATCTATGAGAAAAGAGGTTCGATTACTTTTGATTTTTTGACTTGTGTTTTTCATTTTATTCCTTGTGAAACAAAAGTTTTGGTTTTGATTATGCAAAAAATTTCTATAGGTATGTCCTAGATTAGGCATATCATTGATAAAACAGGTCGTCAACAATTTTGTCCCTGATGAGTTCACCCCTGGACCTGTCCCGAATGCTGTTATTGAGGCATTGAACAATGAGGTTGGTTAATTTGTTGCATGGTTTTTCTTCTCTTTGAATTCAAGCAATAACTGTCACGGGGTCCCTGGATTATTGCAATGCCTACATTATGTGTCTGGAGCATTGCTTAAGCCACTTAACTTTTAACATAGAGAACATGGCTATTAGTAACTTACTATACATGCGAAAAATATATATAAGCAAATAATTATAACTATTCTTTTATTGATTTTAGGATCTTTCAGATGAGGAAGGGACCATCACAAGCTTTCCATGCATGGCTGGTTCCACATTCTATGCACCTCCACCAGCTTCTTCAGTTGTGAGCATCCTAAGAGAAGTGGGAACCCCTTCGCTAAGAAAGGGATCATTTGTGCTTAAGAAGTTATACACAAGTGATGATGAACTTGATGAATTAGATTCACCACTTTCTGCTCTTGGCATGGATGACTCTAAGAAAATGTTTGCAGTAGTAAAGGAAGGTCGTAAGGTTGTCCGATATGAGCTTTTGAAAGAAGTATGGAAGAGTAGTGAATGACCTATATTCAGCCATTATTTCATTCTTTTGTATATTTTGTTTACAGTTTAGCTTATGGTATATAACACCTTTTGTTTTGTTTTGTTTTTAACATTAAGAGTAATACTAGTGTTTGCCTTTTATAATAATCTTGTTCACCTTCAGTTTTCTCTGCGTGCATTTTATTTTTCATGTTGCAGTCGTGCGATTGTTCTCGCACTGCATTCTGTGCATGAGTTGCATTCAAGTGTGTTTTGTATTGTTGTGGAGCTATGGAGGCCTCTATGATAAAACTGCAAAAAACAAGGTGGTTGTGGTGTGGATTTGAGTTCCAAAGATGCCCATGGAGCTTTTTAATAGAAGGAAAATTCCCACTTACTTGAAGTTACTTCTCTTTCGAATGTCTATTTCAAAAGTATATTGAGGTGAAATAATTTTGATTGTTGCTTATCTAATTAATTGAGTATCATTTCATGTTATAGATAATTTTGTCCTGTTTAGTTTATGATCTCACTTTTCCATTTTGTTTCTATCACGTAGAGTCTTGAATCTTGTTGAATATGATTCATTGTTGAGATAATTATGGGTTGTTGAGAGTAATTTATATTGTTGAGATAATTATGAGTTGTTGAGATAACTATAGGTTGTTGAGAGAATAGTTCATGTTATTGAGATAATTATGGATAGAGATAAATGTCTGTTGAGAGAAACTAGGGATTAAGGTTTTAGATAAACTTGATATTATATATATAGCTTGTGACACTAATTCATATGTAATTCATAAGACATAAATAAAGAGAACTAGAACTATTTTATAGTCGCATATGTAGGTAATTTGGCCGAGCTGCGTGAATAAAGTTTTTGTGTGTTTCTCTCTACTCTGATCTGTATTCACGTTACTGTTCTAACAATTGATATTAGATAACGTTTAATTCTGGAGGTGCAAAATTCGAAATGACTCGGTTCAATAGAACTGATAATTTCAATTTATGGTCAAGGAGGGTTGAGGATTTGTTGCCTCGACAAAGTTTACAGAAGGCGCTTCGTGATGAGAAATCGATGTTGGGTGTGATTATGGCAATATAAAATGGTCTAGAGGGGTGTGAATAGACATTTTAAAAACAAATCACCTTATTCTTCAATTTAAATAACATGAATCTTTTCAGAGTTTGCGCACGAAAGTTTTGTAGAGCGAAAATGTGAAATTATACTCAATTGATAATTATTAGGTAGCAATCTAAATCACTTTACAAATAAAGTAATGTCTAGATGAAGAAACACAATGTATGCAATTGAATCAATTGAATAAGTCACGAGATGTGGTTACAAAATTTATCAATAAGTCAAATTTTAAAAGCACGGTGTTTCTCATATTTTAATCACCCTAAAGCCCTTAATAGGTTTTTTAATTTCAACAGAACTTAAGCTTTTCAACAAACCGCTATTATCAAATTATAAACTTAAGTATGTATGTTCTACAAAATACAAATTAAAGAGCGAGAGATAGAGAAATGACAACTGTGTTTTGTGGTGTTTCGACTCTTTCATCCTCGCGTGAGTCTACATGTACTTTTGAAAGTACATGCATAATTTTATTAGTTTGACAATTATTCAAAGACTTTTACAATCACTTATCCACAATAATGCCGAAGACAATAAAACTTCAATTATAGATCCTGATATGTATATGGCCAACTGTCAACTCTACTGCACAATCTTCATTTGATTAACGCTCTCAATCTTCCTGTTGTGAATTCAATGCCAATAACAAAGTATAGAATAAGGGAAGAATAAAGAACAAGGAAGAAGAAGAACACAAGAATTGGTTATAACTGCTATTCTTTACTTTCTCTTTGAAAACAAGATTACAAGTTTACAAGAATAACAAATAACCCTCTCACCCTAGATTAGGATTTGCTGTGTGTTGGCAATGATGAGAGACTAGTATGCTATTTATAATAAAACCTAACATACTAACTAATGGGCTTTTTCCACAAGGCCCATTATACAAGCTAACTTAACAAACAAGCTAACTTAACAAATTAGGGTTTAAACACTAAAACCTAATTAGACAAGCATCCTTCGACAAATACATGCTAGAACCTTCTTCGACTACAGCAAGTACTTCGACCAACTAGAGTTCGATCCAAAATCCCACAAATCTCCACCTTGGACCTAACTCTACAGCATCAAGAGACACTAACTAGCTTTCTTCATGCAGCTTTATCAACTGCATACAGTGGAAAAACTTGCAACTTGGCAATGTTTTGGTGATCATATCAGCAGCATTGTGATCTGTCGAGACCTTCAGCACTTGGACTTCTCCACGCTCGATTACCCCTCTGACGAAATGCAGCCTCACATCTATGTGCTTGGTTCGCTCATGATAGGCTGAGTTCTTCGACAGGTGTATTGCACTTTGACTATCACATTTAACAGTGATACCTTGACCTTGAAGTTTTAGCTCCTTCGCAAAACCTTCAAGCCACAATGCTTCTTTCACAGCTTCAGTTAAGGCAATATATTCTGCTTCAGTAGTTGATAAGGCAACAACCTTCTGAAGAGTTGCTTTCCAACTAATTGCTGTACCAAACATAGTGAAAACATATCCAGAAATAGATTTCCTGGAATCCATACATCCTGCATAATCAGAGTCAACATAGCCTTCGACTGCTGCTTTACTATCTTCACCCAAGGCTCCACCATAAATTAAGACTATGTTCAGAGACCCATTTATGTACCTTAGAATCCACTTTAACGCTTGCCAGTGAGCCTTTCCAGGATTCGCCATGTACCTGCTTACAAGACTTACTGCATATGCTATGTCGGGTCTAGTACAGACCATAGCATACATCAAAGAACCAACTATATTAGCATATGGGATGCTGTTCATATAGGTTCTTTCGACATCAGTACTGGGACATTGATCAATGCTCAGCTTGAATTGAGGGTTTGTTGGAGTCACAACAGGCTTTGAATTCGACATACCAAACTTGTCAAGAATCTTTCGTAGGTATGCCTCTTGAGATAAGCATAATTTCGACTGCTTTCTATCTCTTCGAATGTCAATTCCAAGGATCCTAGATGCAGCTCCCAGATCCTTCATGTCGAACTCCTTATTGAGTTCAGCCTTCACCCTCATTACATCTTCGACATTGTTGCTTGCTATCAGAATATCATCAACATAGAGCAACAAAATAACAAATGAATTTTCAGGTCGAAATCTGGAGTAAACACAATGGTCGAACTGACTTCTAATGAAACTTATGTGTTCCATGAACTTGTCGAATCTCTTATTCCACTGTCGAGGAGATTGTTTAAGTCCATATAAAGATTTCTTCAGTTTGCACACATAATCTTCTTTCCCCTTTTCGACATACCCTTCAGGTTGCCTCATCAGGATTGTTTCGTCTAAGTCACCATACAAGAACGCAGTCTTCACATCCATTTGTTCCAGTTCAAGGTCGAACTTAGCCACCATGGCAAGCAACATTCGAATGGATCTGTGCTTCACAACAGGGGAAAATACATCATTGAAGTCGACACCTTCTTTCTGAGTGAAACCCCTTGCGACTAATCTTGCCTTGTACCTCTTCGACATTACTTCTTCAATTCCTTCCTTAACTTTGAAAATCCACTTACAGCTGACTAACCTTGCCCCAACAGGTTTCTCGATTAGTTCCCAAGTGTGATTATCATGAAGAGATTTCATCTCATCATGCATGGCCTTTAGCCATTCAGTCTTCATTCGACTCCTTATAGCTTCCTTATAATCTCTAGGTTCTTCGTCTAGAACTTCACTTGCAGAGATTAAGGCATAAGCTACAAGATCTGCATATCCAAGTCTCTGAGGTGGTTTTATGACTCTTCTTTGCCTATCTCTCGACAATAGGTAGTCATCAACAGTTTCCTCAACATCATCAGAATCTTCTGTTTCTTCTTCGACTTCATCTGGGATACGCATTTCAGCATCAACATGCTCCACCTCAACAGGAACCTCTACCTGTTCCAGCTCTTCGTCAACATCATCAGTTTTCTTGAAAACCATTTCAGTTTCATTGAAAACTACATCTCGACTGGTGATACACCTCCTGTGACCTGGTTCTAGGCACCATAGCCTATAAGCTTTTACTCCTTCAGGGTATCCCATAAACATGCATTTCAGAGCTCTAGGTTCGACCTTGTCTTGCCTAATGTGAGCATAGGCTACACAGCCAAATACTCTTAGTTTGTCGAGATCTGGTGGATGTCCCGACCAAACTTCTTCAGGTGTCTTCATATCTAACGCTGTCGAAGGACATCTGTTTATCAGATATGCTGCTGTCGAAACAGCCTCAGCCCAAAACACCTTCTTTAATCCCGCACTAGTCAACATGCATCTAACTCTCTCCAAAATAGTTCGATTAAACCTTTCAGCCAAACCATTTTGTTGAGGAGTACCTGCGGTAGTTCTGTGCCTTGCAATACCAGAGGCAACACAAAAACTGTCGAACGCCTCATTGCAAAACTCAAGGCCATTGTCGGTTCTCAACCTCTTTACCTTTCTGCCAGTTTGATTTTCGACAAGAGTCTTCCAACTTTTGAAATTCTCAAAAGTTTCATCCTTAGTCTTCTGGATGAATACCCATAACTTTCTGGAATAGTCATCTACTATGGATAGAAAATACTTTGCTCCTGAATGTGATGGACACCTTGCAGGCCCCCAAAGATCAGCATGGATGTAATCAAGGGATCCATGTGTTCTTTGTTTGCCTTTGTTGAACTTCATTCTACAGGACTTTCCAAGTACACAGGGTTCACAAAACTTCAGCTTTTCGACTTTATCTCCACCAAGCAGATTTTGTTTCCCTAATTCGACCAGACCCCTTTCACTGACATGGCCCAATCTCATGTGCCAAATTTCTGTCTTCGACAAAGGTTTCGTGGATGCAACATTTGTCGAACCACTTACAACTTCAGCCTCAAGGGTATACAAGCCTTGTTTCTTCACGCCTCTCAAGACTTCCTTCGACCCTTTCATG